TAATTTAGAATCGATACTAATGAATATGCCTATTCATCATATGGATTTATCATCCTTCTTTAAATTATTAAATTCAACACGTGACTTATACAAAAGTAGTGAAATAAATCTTCTTGAACAACCTCTAATTCATTTTATTAATGGTAATTCAATGTTTAATAATTCTTTTCAATTACTCGATGGAATTTATCGATTAGAACAAAGTGTATTTCAAGTTCTTTATGAAGCTGCAAAAGTAGAAGCGGAAAATCGTTTCAATGAATTTCAAGATTCTATTAAGTTTGAATCAATTTTCGATATGGTTAAATCGGCAATTAATCAGTGGGACAATGCATGCCAGAGCTTCATGAAATTACGTAAAGCAAAGCGGAAAAAAATATCATTCGCAGACAAAGCTCGGAAACACTATTATAAATGCGTACAAACAATTTCATCATATTTACTATTTGGTTCTCCTTCATCGTCTATAGATGTTGAAACATTGTTTCAAATTGTAGAGGGTGAGATGCTTTTGTATATGGCATGCAATCAAAAGGGTAATGAATGGGCTTTCACAGTGTCTCCTGACACCGAAGTAAAGAAGTTCATTGAATTGCATTCTTCTCATCGTGAATCTCTCAGTCTAAAACCATTGAATGTGGCATTTTCCCCAACCTCTGGAAATACTTTTATGCTAAAATTTAAAAATCTAAAGAATACTAAATTGACTAACGTCAATTTACAATTCTTGGTTTCATCTACTCAAAAATCTCAACATGATGTACTTCATGATCAACGGGAAGGTGTGGTCCAGGAACCTATGTTCGACGTTGTCGCTCAAATATGCCTTAACTTATCAGAAGCCGAGACTATGATGAAAATTGTTGTTGAACCAAGCATAACACATATCAGCATTAACATTAACAAGAAAAAAATGTTGACAATAGACTGGTTGGAACGGATCAAGTGTCAGCAAAAATATGAAATTAATGATTCTTTTACTGTGCAATGCTTTAAAATTCAAAAAGATTACTATGCAGTGAAATCATTTGCAGATCCGGAACTAATGAATTTTGCTCCAACGGATAGTGATATTAGCCAAAGCTTATTAGATTTAAATGAACAAATTAACAATCGATTAAATGAAAGAAGTGATGATGAAGCATGGAAAACATTGATTGCCAACAGCACAGCGCAGAAATTTAAAAACAACATGAATCAAATTGTACAATTGAGTCAATGTTTACGTTTAACTTCGAATGATTTATCAAATTCAACAAATGTTTATAATCTATTCAACAAATTGCCTAAACCAGAAATACAAAATAATTTGTTAGATCTGATACCATTCAAAGATTTTTCAGCGGTGGCACAAAATATTCATATTGTAGATGACACCGAATCAGCTTTAGAGTACGAATTTAGTCGTGTATGGACTCGATCAATGGATCGTTCCTTTCAGTCGATTATTAAGTGTCGTGATCAAGTCTATTCAGA